ATGAATTTCATAAATTGGGTCTTCAAATGGGAGAAAGAGAAATTGTTAGGATTTAAAAAGTATTTTGTGAACACCTCGAATTACCATCAACCAACACATTACAATGTGAAAAACTCCGTTATTCATCCCGGGCAATGTAAATTATACTCATAAGAGAATGGTTCTATTTTATTTAGTTTCGGCAACACGCACAGCATTATCGTTGTACCGAACTTGTCTCTCAAGCAAAGTTATAGGCTTGTTGAAATCAGACTGGATACATCCAACCAAAGTCACTTAGTGTGGAGTGCCGGACGCATGTTCAGTAATGGCAGGTGCATTAGGGTTGAGTGACATGCGCACCTGTGCGAAACATCTCCGTGAGAGCCCTCCCTATCTGGCGAGACAGGGGGCGAGAAACTCGAGTTGTTTTGAATACTGAATCCGGGGTAGTTCAATAGGAATCTGTTTTCCTTTTGGAGCAAAGTTACAGTGCATATATGAATGAAATGGACACCTGCACCCTAAGTAGACCTAACAGGTAATGGTAATTAAAATATAAATGTATTATAAGGGCTGAATCTTTGAATTTGGTCTTTTGGTTGTCCTCATCTGCAATTTTACCATAAATCGTATCTACCCGACTGGATTTTTATCAATCACATAAATGAAGTAATGCGCCAATGTGTTGTACAATAAATTATATTCATGTTTTTACGGATCTATTTGCATAAAAGCTAATGCCGAGACGTCGCTGCTAGTAGTCGCTGGTGACTTCACTCATTCAGATGTCAGTTTCCTTAACTGCCTGGCTCGAATAAACATGATCATTTTGCATATTAAGGAAAACTGCTAACTATAATTTCTGTTTTTGAACGACTTTGAAATCCTCTTCTTCAGGATAAAGACCAGTTGTCCATCTACGACACCTTCATCCTCAACGTCTCTCAAAAAATATATTCCAAGCCCCGTCTTGCCATGCAGTTCAATAGCAGGACCGTACAACCATACTGTGATACAGAACACCTAACTTACTACTTTAAAGGATCGCAGAAACCAATTTTGATCAATTTTACAGCCACATTGTTTTAACTCCATTTTAAATTTTTATTTTTCTGAATTTTTTTTATTTAACTTAATGTGACTTCCTGACAAATTGTTGGAAAATGTTTATGCCATGTGCTATTCACATGAATCCACATACATTAAATCTGCCAAGTTGTGAACTCTCTCAGATGGAAATAGAGGGTTTTACATCGTCAGTTATTTTGCATCAGGTTAAAAATTTACGAAATGGAACAACTGAACATTGAAACCGTGCTTGAAAACGTTTGGCATTGCCATATTTGGAAGATAAACAATGCCTGCAGTTTGAGCTCTGCATTTCTTGGATCCAAGAAAGCGGTTGATGACCTCAATCACATCTTTATCCATAGTGACTCTCAACTTTTCACTGCCATGATTGATTGGATCATTTAACACAAACTTAGTTCAAGCCATCAACCCTAGTCAAATGTAACCTGAGCTGAAACTACTCAAACCGAGGAATACTGAGTGACTTAATGATCTCACCCTAACGTTCTCATAGTGTAGTAGAACCCTTCGTGACATTGGACCCAGGTAAGCACTATAGCCGACTATTGGAGAAAGCATCAGTTTCATACCCAAAAAGAAAATTAACAACTTGTACCCTATTTGCGTGTTCATCTACGTTTTAAAAAATTTGCAACGCATACTCGCACACATTAATTCACATATCTATACTAGTGATGATCTTCAGTTTACTAAAGGGGAAAAACTATCAATATCGCACTCCATAGCATATCTGGTCAACTTTATTTGATTCTCATTCGATCACACCGGCAAACCATTTAGCATGTGATCTCTCGACAACATTTATTTTGTGTTCCTAAATCTCCACTGTTATCTACGTCACGTGATGAATATTGACCGCTCTACCTTTCTGCCATTAGTTTGGGGCTATTTCACTGATAGAACTGAATTTTCTTTCCTCAACAGAGATCGATCTGGCTTTCCTCTTAGTCGTTATGTAGTGCTAGGTGTCATTTTTTGGCATTTGGTCTCATTACCAAAGTATGGCTTCTGCTGCTACTATGGAAACTAAATCTGATAGTAATATTCCGTTCTTTGAACTTGAGCATTTATCATCTTCTATCGTTTCAAAGTCTCTCTATCCCATCATCTGTCTCTTTCCCTGACCAAATTTAACGGCACTCTATTGAAACGTCCTAACGGGAATCAGTTGTATCCTATCGAATTTAGATGTTCGTCTTAATTTGTTGACACGTACAAAGTACCTAAAGTTCAGTTTGTGACATATCTGGGAGTAAACCATCCCCGAAACCTCATCTGGCCCAAGAACACTGTTCATACATAGATAATGGTACGTCACGTACCAATTCTTGCTTCACTACTAAAACTTAACTTAAGGAACTGGTATATTTCTGCGCCTTGCCAAAGTTTCTGTTCTGCCATTTTCAACGAATTTCGAAAAAATATTATCCTTTTAGTAGGATTATCCTAATTGTATCACATTCCATTGATACACTCAAATCTTTATTAACCAACTCCAAAATCGAAAAACATAGGACCTCGAGTGACAAGCTGCTGAACAGTAGCCTATCATCCAACTTAACCCGGCCACGACACAACAGAACCACTGACTGTGTCTTGTTTATTCGTAAAATAATAATACAAATTTCTCTACTCCTGAATAACTGCATATCACATATCAATCCTACCTTGATTTATCACACACTATACTACATAACCTTACTGATGAACAAAGAATTTACAAATTATTTACGCTTTTTGAAATGTTTACCTCCCACTGGATGGTAGCACTGCTCTATTATATTATTTATCCCTTATTTTTTCATTAATTCAAACAATCCACATATTTGGTCAGTGAGGAATAGATTGACGAGCCTCCTAAGGAAATTGCTTACACAGTCACGATTGAACTGCTATTGACTGTTGCTTAGTGTACATTGTTATTGACCAAAGACAGTCTCTCTTTGCAAAATACTGTCTCACTGTCTAAGATCCTAGTTTTCATGGAAGTTATCACTTGCTAGCCCCATAATGAAATGCATTTTCACCCACTTTGATCTTCAAATCAGCATGATGGTACGGATTTCGATCATTTGCTATCCACTGCATGCACATGCAACAAAAACTCGTAAATTGTTTTTCCCAGTCGGTTTGGTTGTGTTCTCTAATTCTTCCTCCAAATGGGCAGCCAAAAGACAGCAACCAAAACCGCCGTACGAAGGTGCATAGTTGATGGTTGTACAAAGTTAACTGAACTAAACTTGGTTGACTTCAATAATTACTGTGCGTTGTATGTTTTGAATGATAGCAGTGGGTCATATTTCATTCAACACCACAAGGAGCGCTAATTGGATTCTCTATTATAACCAAAGTATCTCGCGTATTCCCATCTACTCTAACAAGATCTTTGAGCGCGAAGATATTTCTCACTCCTACTCACAAAAACATTTTGAAAATTTACTTATTGAAATATACACCAGAACTTACCCCTGGTTAGCCTGTTTTTATCTTTTATTTAGGCTTATAAAAAAATTAACCTGTACCTTAAATAATTAATCGTATGTTCATTTTGTTCAAAAATACCCAGATTTTAACAACCAATCTTTGTATTTTCTCTCACTTTGAACCAGATCAACAGGCACTATCAGGACAATAAAATGTAGCTTAATCGATATTCCTGTACCACTCCTCTCTTATTCCTTTTGCCGCTGAAAAGCACTCTTGCCACGTGAAAAGGTCTGAAAACTAAGCACAGTCGTAAAACCTAAAGCGGCCCAATTTAGCTGTTGCCAGACAAATTCACCTCAAATGTGGAAATTGCATTTTTATAGAGACCGGTATGAAATGCTTTCAGTTTGCGGGCATTGTAAAACTCATGACATCAAATACGGCAATAAAATATTGACAGTTATTGGGAATACATTCGCAGAATAATGCATTATTTTTTAATAGCTGGCATTTATGATAACTTGAGAAGCTACCAATTGGTCAACTAACGATACATCACAGTAGCGCTAATGATATACATTCATAATTTTAAATCAAAACTGATCCAACTGCTAATTTATTGATAAGAATGGTGCCAATCTCACGTGAATGTTTAGGCTAAGGTTTGAGTTAAGCGTTTCCCCGGCTAGGTGTTCTCATTGAACAGTATTTGACGGAGGAAGTAGTTGGGGAAAGTTTTGGGTTAGTCCGTTAATCACCTGGTTTGAAGGTACAAAAACCTACACTGATAAACCTCGCTTTTCAAGTCGTTTGAGTTTTTCCAATTGAAGAGCTAATCATTAGACTAGTAATTAGCTGTATTTATTCCCTCAGTGCAAACATCCATGTTACTCACATTAGATGTTTACATCTTGATATCGCTCTAAGCCTCCCTTTTATTCTCAGAGACCTGTTCATTGGTCAATTGGAAACAATCAAAACCAGAGAACAAAAACCGAGGTTTCTTAAAACTGAATTGAACTAAATAAAACGCTGATTTCGTCATGACACTCAAATAAGTTTAAGTGATGTTGCAATCCTATATTGCTAATATCTCATATAAACATCGTACCCAATCATCACAAGCACTCTGTAGGACCTGAATATATATAACCTAACTTGCGGAAACAAGTGTACATGTATTATCAATAATGATTGAACTACAACTGATACATATGTACAAGATATAACAGAAATATACCATTGATCTCTTGAGTAAAAAGATTAGTTGCATAAATATACGTATGCATCATACATTCATCTTGTATATCATTTTCATTACGATATCTTGGTACTGTGTACATTTTATTATGCACTATTTACACAGTAAATATATGTGCCGATAAAAGCTAAACGTTTCATTTATTCAAAGGACTAATATATCTAAAGGACTAAGCTATCTGAGTCCTATACATTTGCCTAAGAACCCGACTCCAAAAGCACCAACATAAGCCACTGACCTCTCTTTCCCTGATCTGCTCCTGTTGTTCTTTGTAGATTTCTGCCAACTGTTCCTTAGACATTCCCTTAAATCTGTCTGGGACGACCCGATGTGGACCGAAAGCCGAGATTGCCTGAGCCGGGTTCTCAGTAAGCATATCACTGTAAATTGCATTACAGATCTCCGTCATATTATCATCTTGTTCCTGTTTGGCTTTCCGAATTCTACGTTGCTCTTGTTCCAATCGAAGTGCATCGTTGAAACGTTGGACCGCCATATTGATCGCCCGGCGACAATCCTCCTCAGCCTTAGCCAGTTCACATGCCCGTTGATCTAGTTCACGGCGTTTGAGAGCATTCAGCCTAAAACAGGATTGAAAAAAATAAAAACATGTTTTTACTATTGTTGCTTGCATCACATATTGAAGAGACTACGTAATCCATGAGCCATCAAATATACAGAAAGGGACATGGTCGTCTGCACTGCAGAAGTGCAAACAACGAATTTACAAAACAACAATCGTACTACTTATGAGTAGGCAAATGATGGTTGTGAATTTATTCTTGAATCGCTGTCCTTGTAAATTGCAAGTCCCTGACAGCGGATTCCAGCAATGTTACTGAACCAATATTTTTATAAAGCACCTTCGTAAAAAAGCACTTTAAACCACATGGCTCAATTTTTACGTATCTCTCTAATTTTTAATGGAGTACGTTTTGCACTTGCATTCAAATGAAAACATAATTGAGATTTTTTCTGATTGCTGTATTCAAAATTTTCGGATATCCTTTCCTGAATCTTTAATTCAGTTTAATGAAGATCGAAGACAAAGTCAAAGTTTTATTATGGGAATAACTTACAAGCTGGTGCTTCTCTTGTCCCATAGGACATTTACACAGAGGAATTGTTACACATCAAAAAAAGGAGTCACATAGAGTTCCAGGTAGAAGATAATAGAGAATGTATGCCACAGTGGATTTCGTTTGCTTTTAGTGATGTACGAATGTGAGGTGTGCCAAGATTTCATCGAGTCTCTGCTTGAAAGATTCAATAGTGGGTGCACAAACGACATGAGATGGAAGGGCATTCCAAGATTTGCATACTCTGACAGCAAAAGACTGGCGCAGGCAATCCAGTCGACACTTTTCGAAACGGTGTCCCCTTAGGTGTACATTGTTCGATAACATGAGAAGCGATCGACACGGATGGTTTGGGTGCTTCAGTATTTGACACGTCAAAACCAAGTCTCCTCGAGTTTGGCGGTACTGAGCAGAATATAGTCTCAATGATCGCAATCTCACCTCGTATGTCAGGCAATGCAATCCCATCTTGGTGGCCATCCTTTGTGGACGCTCAATCGTCTTGCGATCACGTTGAAGCCATGGACTCCAAGCTTGGATGGCGTACTCTGTATAGGGTCGAATGTACGCTGATAGCAAACGTGGGAATAGTGATGATTCAAACCGGCCAAAGAC